CCCGCTCCTCCGCCGGGCGTGACCTGTGGACGTGGCACGGCCCTGCTGCCCAGCCAGGCGATCGTGACCTCCCCTCCCTCGGCTGCCAACCTTGCCAATGCCCACCTGTCCTCGTTATCCACCGCCCCCTCCTTCTCCTCTGGCGCCGGCTCAGGGATCGGCCCCAGGTCCCCCGTGCTGGAGGCACGTTTCGGCTCCTGCTCTCCTGCTCCCATGGACAAGACGGCAGTGGTGGGAAGCCTCAGAAGGACTCGTCTCCCCTCCCCGTCCCATCCCATCCCATCCTCCCAGGCCCAGGTGGGAGACAGCCCAGCGTGGATGCCGGCTGGCCCCGCGGGCACCTCCGCCATGCAGCTGCCCAGACCTGGGAGGAGTTGCTGAGCCTGGCAGCCCACGCGCCTGGTCTGGCCAGCTCGGCCCCCCCAACCCCTACCTTTGGGTTTCTTCCTGCGGATGGAGGCACGGACGATGTCGGCGCCCAGGTGGTTGTGCCGGTGCCGCTTGGCCCGGACGTCGCAGAACCAGTCCCCGGTCAGGCCCTTCAGCTGGCTGGGGTCGGAGACCGACTTGCGCAGTTTGCTGAAGGGAAGGGAGGAGCGCGGGAGGGCTGAGCCCCAGCCAGGGCCAGGGACCACGGGGGTGAGGTGCCCCCGGCTGCACGTCCCGCCTGGAGCCGCAGCCCATCACAAGGGAGAAGAGCAGCAGTTTTCAGGGGTGGATGCAGGGCCTCTGGCCTCCCAGGGACACTGCCGGGCTCCCTGCTTTGCAACCCCTTCCTCCCCCAAAGCAGAGCCCGGCACAGGCCACCCCCAGCCCCATCAACCAGCCGGGAAACCAGCCTCCTGCCCGACACACTGAGCCCAGGACGAGAAGCAGGATCGGGACCGTCAGGGCAGCCTGTGCTTCTGCTCACAAGGTGCCCAGAGACCACAACGATGGGCAAAGCCCCACCTGAGGAAGCCCTGGCTAAACTGGGGCCACGGCCAGGCCGAGGCCCACGGGGACGTTTGAGCCCTCCTCCCTGGAGCCTGGCGTGGCCAAGGCGGTGGGATGCTGCTGTGTGCTGGCGGGCTCGGGGGGCGCTTCGCTGCACCACGCAAAGCCGAGGCCATGGGGCTGGGCCGTGAATAGCGAAGTGGAGCGGGAGACACGGCTCAGCCTCCCACGCATGCAGCTGCCCCCAGGGAACAGCAACCAGTGGGTCGAACCAATGTCCAGCCTGAGACTAGTGCCCTTTGCTTCACACAGGTGCATGTGTGCGCATGTGCATGCAAGTATGTATAGGAGTGCCTGTGCATGCATGCTTGCACACATATGTATTCACATGCACATGTGTGTGCATGTGCATGTGCATGGGGGGGATGGCGCCAGGCCCCCAGGGGGGCGA